CAGCCACTGCACTCTAGTCTAGGCGACAGAGTGAGACTCCAACTCAAAAAAAAAAAAAGTTGTCGGGCACAGTGGTTCACACCTATAATCCCAGCAATTTGGGAGGCCAAGGTGAGAGAATTGCATGAGCCCACGGGGTCGAGATCAGCCTGGGCAACTTGGCAAGACCTCATCTCTACAATAAATCAGAAAATGAACCAGGCATGGTGACATGTGCTACTTGGAAGGCTGAAGCGGAAGGATCACCTGAGTCCAGCAGGTCGAGGCTGCGGTAGCTTTGAGCATGCCACTGCACTCCAGCCTGGGCGACAGAGTGAGACTCCAACTCAAAAAAAAATAATAATAATCAACATATTATGATCACACCTAATAAAGTTAACAATAACCCCTTACTCTTATCAAACATCTAGCCAAAGTTCACATTTCACTAACTGTCTCAATTTTTAAAAAAATAATTTGTGATGCGCTCTTAAAATCCTAATCATGCTGATTCACTTAAGATTTAGGAACACTAGAATTAGCTGAGAAAATGTTTTTTCTCATATGTCATTTGCAGTGTGGCACTCAGACTGTTGTAGAACTTCAAGCATTAGTCCCTAGTGCTGGGCATGGTGTACTTTGGGAGGCAGAGGCCCGAGGATTGCTTGAGCCCAGGGGCAACTTGGCGAGACCTCATCTCTAATAAGTTAAAAAAAAAAAAAAAAACCTGGGCACAGTGGCGCATGCCTGTAGTTCCAACTACTTGGAAGACTGAGGCACAAGGATCGCCTGAACCCTGCAGGTCGAGCTGCAGTGGCCGTGCGCGTGCCCCTGCACTCAAGCCTGGGGGACAGGGTAAGAGTCTCACTCAAAAACAAAGAAAAGAATTAATACATAGCTTGATAGAAAGGGAGAAGAAGAGATGACTTTAAAAGATGTCTTTGCTGCTCGACTGTGTATTTTAGGAGCCAGGGATGTGCTCCACACCCAGCTAAGTGCTGAGGGTAAGAAAGAAACCAGGTACTCTGTGGAAGGAGAAACATCACTGCTTAGTTGCAGGAAATGCTTACAATGAGGATCTCAAACTCCATGCTTGTGGAGGCCAAGCAGGAAAGGAAATATACTAAAAAGAGGAGGGAGCGGGTACCTGAAAGGCATCTCCTTCAGGGTGGGGAATCTGGAAAGGGCATTGAATTGAACGTGCCTGACAGAGGGCCGACTGCTTCTCATTCTCAGCCCGCTGTCCCCATGCCCGAATGCGGGCCTGGTATTGCCAGACCTTCGGTTCCTCAAGACAGATCAGGAATGTTAAGTTGCACGTGCAGTCTCCAATTGTTAACTGTTGGTAGTTAACGTGAAAGTACTCTATGGTTTACTGAGTCAGAAAGTAGATCAGGGCTGGGAGAGTTGGTGAGGGGCATGGGGAGTGACCGCTAATGGGTACAGGGTTTCTTTTCAGGGTGATGAAAAAGCTCTAAAATTAGATTGTGGCCCGGCGCCATGGCTCACGCCTATAATCCCAGCACTTTGGGAGGCCGAGGTGAGAGGACTGCCTGAGCCCACGGGTTCAAGACGAGCCTGGGCAACTTGGTGAGGCCTCATCTCTACAATTAATCAAAAGATTAGCTGGACATGGTGGTACGTGCCTGTAGTTCCAGCTACTCGGAAGGCTGAGGTTGAAGGATCACTTAAGCCCAGCAGGTTGAGGCTGCAGTGGCCCTGAGTGTGCCACTGCACTCCAGCCTGGGCGACAGGGTGAGAACTCCAACTCAAAAAATAAATAAAATTAGATTGTGGTGATGGTTACACAACGGTGTGAATACACTAAACGCCATTGAGTTATACGCCTTAAATGGGTAAATTGTATGGGGTGTGAATTTTTTTTTTGAAAGCAGGATTTATTGAGAGGACACAAAAGCTCCCACAGTGGGGGGGACCCGAAGGGGTTGCCCCCGGATGTGAATTTAATCTCAGTCTTTTAAGTATTTTGTGGGCCAAACAGAACTTGTCTGTGCCCAGGGATCTGTGCATCTACCTCTCAGTGTCCTCTGCCACTTGTAAAATGAGAGGCGACCAGCTTCCCTCCCAGAATGGCCAGACTAACCAGAAATGCTTGGGAGACAGTCTGCGGGAGCCGCAAGGCCTGCACCAGCAGGTCCCGGGCAGCCTCGCTGAGGGATGTGCTGGTTATTTGCCAACATTGGAAGGACAGTGGGAACTCTAAAAGCCCGGACTTCACTGCTACGCATCCGTCCATGTAACAAAACTGCACAGTACCCCGAAGTAAAAATAAGATATAAAAGCCTTAAGAAAGAAACTGCAGCAGACCTTGTGCCCACTAGACCCCAGAGACCTCTCCTGTACCATTACCAGTCTCCACCCCCAAAGCCCCTCGGGGACAGTCACTCCCCTGACTTCTAACAGTGAAGGTTAATTTGGCCTTTTGGTGCCTGAGAAAGTCGTGGGTGAGTGCGCTGGTGCCTGGCCTCTCTGCTCAGGCTGTGCAGCGAGACCCCGTCTGTGCTCTGCCTGCGCCCGCTGTTCTCAAGCTTGGCCGTGATCTTTTTGACCCTGATTATGTTCATTCGGGATTCTTGTGAGGAGAGGGCCATTTCCTCAGAGGAGGTTTTCCTGTTTCACTTTACTGTGCTTGTCATTGTTGTATGTAGTTACTTTCTCAAACAGTTAATTGCGGAAGAGCTGACATGAGATAAATTTTGCATGTTTGTAAGTTTTAACCTGAGTATACAGCTGTGGAAGCACCAGAATGTCTCCTTCACCTTTGAGGGGTGCTAGGGACAGGGAGAGTGCTTTGGGGGAGCGTCCAAGATGCGGGTGACGTGCTGTTTTGTCACCCGAGTGCTGATGACACAATGCAGCTGGCAAAATTAGATTGAGCCGTGTCTGATTTGTTCAGTTTTCCAACGTATATCATATTCGACATCAGAAAAACTCCAATCTAGTGCACAAAAAGAAAAAGGAAGGAGACTGGTGAGTGGTGGCTAGCACAGACCTGAGTCGTCATCGAACACGGAGACGACTTTTCCAAGAAGCCTCTGCTGGCGTCTGTCCACTTGGCCTGGCCCCGAGTGGATAGAAAAGGGGGTGGCAGCTCACCCTGCTGTGTGCCCATGCCAGCTCTCGGGGGCCTCCCACCTCTCGCTCATTCCTCACCCAGCCACTACCGTAGGGACAAGCTGGGGCTGGTTTCACTTCTTGCATCGCCCCCATGCAGCCGCCACCTCTGCTGTGCCGCCTCTGCCGGGGGCTGCTGGTGGCTCAGCCGGCCGTTTGGGTTTCGCGCTTCAGGTGTCACCTGCCAGCTGTTCACACTTGCGTTAATTTTACTCCACCTACATCTGTTGAGTGCCCGGCAGAGCAGATCCTGCCCCATCGCCATCAGTGGCAACTGCGGGAGTGAGATGTGTGCTGCAGGCAGCCGGGACTTGCTGTGAGATGGGAAGGGCATGATGCCTTCCAGCTGGAGGTGTTCTCGGAGGACGGCAGTGACTGCTGAACCAGGCCATTCTGCGGCGAAGGACAAAGGAGGGGAATCTGACATCTTGACGTGCCTTGTTAGCCAGAGTCTCCTCCTTGGCTAGTAAGCGAAAAATCAAACATCCAGGGAAGCCATCTCCTGAGAGCACCCAGGGTCTGGAGCGCGTTTCCCACCCCTGCCAGGAGGCCCAGTTAGTCTCTCAACTCCATCACACCCAGAGGAAGGCGTGAGCAGCCGCTGGAGCTTGAGCTGCCGAGTTCCTGGGGCTCCCCTGCCTGGTGCCCTCCCGGCCCAGCCACACCTTGGTCTCAGAGCCTTGGGTGTGCCGCAGGCTGGCTTCCCTCCTTTCCAGTCTTCCAGTGCAGTCATCAGCTGCGCCTCCCAGGATCCTCTGCGCATGGTCTCCCACCCCCTCTCCTCCGCTGGCAGATTCCTGCTCCAATCCTGCTCTTTTGGAGCTCCATCTTGCCCTGCTCTCTGTAGCCACTTTCCTGCCCCTCACCACTTCTCACTTCCTCCCCAGCCTCTGTCTTGCCAGAGGAGGCACAGGGATAATCAGGCCCACTCCACTTCTGGGAAGAGCAGGAGTAAGAGAGCCAGGGCTGCTGCTGGGAAGCCGCTGGTGCAGGACGGCCTGGGCTGCCTGGGGCGTCCTGCTGTGTTTACTGCTTGCCGCTGGGTTCTGGAAGTATCGTGCTCCACCCCAGGAGAAGTGGGCAACAGGCAAGAGGACAAAGCCTGCCCTGGTTGGCACATGCAGCCGACCACGCTGGGGTGAAATCTGTCTAGAGTCACTGCTGACATAGGCTGGGCCCTGGGCGGGCCCAGAGATACTGGAACTCAGATTCTTTTCCAGACAACAGGAATGGGGTTCAGGTCTCGGGTTCTCAAGCAGGGCTTGAGGGCTTCTGTGCTCAGGGGTCCCCGGAGGCAGGGAGAGCCCAGGCCGGGCTGGGAAAGCGGCCGACTGCATCCTGTGGTGGCGCAACAGAAAGAACCACACGTGGGTCCCGCCTGGATTATATTCCTGCCCTTGGCTGCTTTGATGCTTCTAACAACCACTCTCTTCTTTCCCCAGGTTTTCTGTCTTACTGTTATAACAGGAGTTGAGCCAGGGTCTCTGTTGCCCAGGCTAGAGTGCAGTGGCACAGTCACAGCTCACCACAGCCTCAGCCTCCTAGGCTCAGGCAATCCTCTAGCCTCTGCCTCGGGAGCTGGGGCTACAGGAGTATGCCATCATGCCCAGCTAATTGTTTTGGTCTTTTTTGTTGAGACGAGGTCTCTCTGCGTTGCCCTGGCTGATCTTGAACTCCTGGCCTCCCGAAGTGTTGGGATTACAAGCATGAGCCACCATACCCAGCCTCATTATTATTTTTAATTCCCAAAGCAAAGCATTTCAACATAGAAAAGTCAAAGACTGTAGGAAACTCAAACAACACTTTGCGTGTACAGTGAGAATCCCACCTCCCTCCCTCTGGTGTGCATTCACCTTTTGGTAGGCACATATAAATGTATATATCATATACAAATATGAGGTCTTTTTTTTGAGTCAGAGTCTCAGGCTGGAGTGCAGTGGCACGCTCATGACTCACTGGGCTCCGGTGATCCTTCCGCCTCAGCCTTCCAAGTAGCTGGAACTATAGGCATGTGTCACTATGCCCAGCTAATTTTTTGATTTATTGTAATCTTGACAAGTTGCCCAGACTGGGCTCCAACCCGTGGGCTCAGGCAGTCCTCTGAACTTCGGCCTCCCAAAGTGCTGGGATTATAGGCTTGAGCTACCATGCCCAGCCCTCTCTCTCTTCCTTAGATAACAGTGAAACTATGTAGTATCTATCGCCTCTGTTTTTGTGATAGTTCTGACTTCTCTTTCTCCTCTCCTCTCTCCTCAGGGATCCGGTGTGATTAAAGCTGGGTTTGCTGGTGATCAGATCCCCAAATACTGCTTTCCAAACTAGTAAGTCATCCCGTGTTGAGCCAGAAGCCTGGGGGGCTAGTCAGCTGTGCTTGGGGCCAGCCTTCCCTCTTTCAGGAAGAATTCTCATTCAGGTCATCCTTGGTACTCAACACGGTGACAGCAGGGACAGGCGCTGGGCTCGCAGTAAGCAAAGGAAACAGTTATCTCTGTGGTGCCATTTGAGAGGCGTAGGCAAGAGGGCTCTTTTTAAAAATCTGATTTTATCTGATGCCAAAAACGTTACCACTGGCGACACAGGGCTTTGGATGGTTGCCTCTTTTTAAAATTCTCCAATCACCCAGGCTGAGGATTAGCATTAAACCATACCTGCCATCTTGGTGAGAATTAGTTTCTAGAGCTTTCCTCCTAAGGCAGAGAGACTGCCTGGTGGCCTAGGGAAGAGGCCTAAGTGGAGAGGAAAAGGAAGAGACTGCATTACAGCCTCATAGCTTTGCTTAGTAGAAGTCCTGGGAAGGGGGCTGAGGAGATGGAAATACTTTGAGTTGATTATTCATTTAGAAATTCTGGCCGGTGTGGTGGCTTACACTTGTAATCCCAGCACTTTGGAAGGCTGAGGTGGGAGGGTTGCTTGAGGCCAGAAGTTCATGACCAGCCTGGGCAACACAGTGAGACCTCGTCTCTATTTTTTTTTTTTTTTAATCTTATTTTCTTATCTCTCTTGGTCCGGACATATGTTGGGGAAAGAAGAACTAGAGGTACTGAAGCCTCTAAAAATTTTTTAAATGATTTGTGACAAGTATAGCAAAATATGAAATAATATATAGATAAAATAATACATGCTCATCATAGAAATTGTGGAAAATACAGAAAAGTGCAGAAAGTAGCCTCACTCCTCAGACACAGCAGCAGTAGAATCGAATATGTCTGTGCATCTCTACTTCCTTCCTGTGTCCTGTGGCGAAGTAGACAGCGGTGGTCCCCCCTCTTTTCCAGTGTGGGCAGACCCAAGCACGTTCGTGTCATGGCAGGAGCCCTCGAGGGCGACATCTTCATTGGCCCCAAAGCCGAGGTAAGCCCAGGCCTGCAGAACAAGCCCCAGGCAGTAGCGGCCCCTCCTGCTCACCGTGCGGGCCATGTCCCGGCAGGTGAGCACAGCCAGCGTCAGAGGGACGGTCGTCTCTTAAAATCGTCCTCTGGTCTTCTCATCCCAGGCCTCGGTGGTTTATTTCTCCCCAGAGCAGCCTCCTGTCTTGGAAGAGAAATGCCTGAACCCTGCTTTGGGAAACACGGAGCCAGTCTAGAAAGCAGGACTTTTGCCTTTCTTCTGTCTTTGGCCACTGCCTTGCCAGTGCTCCGATGACTGAGCTGGCTCTTGGCAGAAGGGATTCAGGGGCAATCCCACCGGGCACACCCTAGGGACGAGTTTGTCAGCAGGGTTTTGGCAGAGCTCCAGGTAGCCTCTAGTAAGCTGTACAGCAGCATCATTGTTGCCAGCCTTGGCTTCAAGGCCTGGGGCCCGGGGGTGGGAACCGGGTACTGGGGAAGGTGCGTCCAGCCACATGCCCTCGGTGCATCCGAGGCCCACGGAACTCAGCTTACAGCATGTGGTCTGGAGGCTTGGAGAGCAGTGCCGCCCTAGCCTGGGTCCGGACAGCAGGGTGGGCGCTCAGGAAGCCAGGGGGCCTTTGGGCCGATTCGGCCTGCGTCGCGCGGTCCTGGGAGAGCAGGGTCCTGGCAGAGCCTGGCAGCCCTGCAGGTCCCATTCTCCCCCGCAGGAACACCGAGGGCTGCTGTCCATCCGCTACCCCATGGAGCACGGCATCGTGAAGGACTGGAACGACATGGAGCGCATCTGGCAGTACGTCTACTCCAAGGACCAGCTGCAGACGTTCTCAGAGGAGGTGAGGCCCCCTGGGCAGGCACCTTGTGGGGTATGCAGGGTGGGCCCAGTCCCTCTCCCAGAGGCCATGAGAGCCGTGTGCTTTCTAGACATGCTTGAATTTAATATTGTTTCTGTTTTTTTTTTTGAGTTGGAGTCTCCCTCTGTCGCCCAGACTGGAGTGAGGGGCCGCTCCTGGCCACCGCAGCCTCAACGTGCTGGGCTCCGGCGATCCTTCCGCCTCAGTCTTCCGAGTAGCCGGAATGACAGGCGCGCGCTACCACGCCCGGCTGATTTTTTGATTTTTATTGTAGAGATGAGGTCTCGCTGCCCAGGCGGGTCTCGAACCCGCGGGCTCAGGCAATCCACTCATCTCAGCCTCCCAAAGGCGTGGGATTACAGGCTGAGCCACTGAGCCCAGCTTGTTTCTGTTTTTGATACAGGGTCTTACTCTGTCGCCCAGGCTGCAGTGCTGTGGAGCGATCATAGCCCACTGTGGCCTTAAACTCTTGGGCTCAAGTGATCCTACCACAGCCTCCCTGGTAGCTGTGACTACCTGCATGTGCCACTATGCTCAGTTAATTTTTAAACTTTTTGTAGAAACAGGGTCTCACTGTTGCCCAGGCTGGTCTCAAACCCCCAGCCTCAAGTGATTCTCCCTTCTCAGCCTCCCCAAGTGCTGGGATTACAGGCATGAGCCACTATGCCTGGACTGGTCTTCATTTTTTTAAAGCATATTCAATATTAAAATGTAAGTTTTTATTTTGAAATTTTTTTAACTATTATTTTTATCATAACAATTCAGTTTAACAAAACCTTCTTGACAGTTGAAGATATACAGTAGTCACAGGGGCCTTTACAAGAATCTTGGAGAATTGGGAGACCGATCAGTCGAGGCCAGGAGATGGAGACCAGCCTGAGCAACACTGCGAGACTCCCATCGCTATAAATTTTTTTTAAAAACTAGCCACGGCCTAGTACAGTGGCTAATACCTGTAGCCCACTACTTTAGGAGGCCAAGGCAGGAGGATTGCTTGAGCCCAGGAGGTCAAGCCCAGCCTAGATAACATAGAGAGACCTTGTCTCCACAAAAAATTTTTAAAAAATTAACCAGGCAGCTGGGCTCAGTGGCTCAGCCTGTAATCCTGTGCCTTTGGGAGGCTGAGGTGAGTGGATTGCCTGAGCCCACGGGTTCAAGACCCGCCTGGGCAGCGAGACCTCATCTCTACAATAAATCAAAATGAGCCGGGCGTGGTAGCGCACGCCTGTCATTCCGGCTACTCGGAAGGCTGAGGCGGAAGGATCGCCGAAGCCCAGCAGGTGAGGCTGCAGTG